CCCTTCTTGTGTTTAGGGGTTGACATTGCAGTTAGAGGCTCAGGCTTGGTTTGGTGCTCCTCCCATGACATGCACCATATATGGAGTGCCAGCTGTGTGCAATATAATATGTGCTTTGTAGCCCCGCTTTACCATAGATACACCCGAGCAAGCAAGAAGGTGTGCATGAGCCCCCTGGACAGCCACAGAACAAAGGCATAGAAAACTGAATTCAAAGGCCTGAGGTCACCTGGGGGGGATGTGAGCCCTGTTCTGTTTGTTTTGTTTTTTAAGGTTGGTTGTTTTTTAAGCATGTGTATACATGCATGTCTGTGTACATGTGCACATTGGTACAGATGCCTGAGGAGTCCAGAAGAGGACAGGCGTTGGAGTGGAGTCACGGGCAGTAGTGGGCTGCCCATTGTGGGCACTGGGAACTGAACCCAGGTCCTCTGTGAGATCACTGGGTATGCTTAACTGCAAAGCCGTCTCTCTAGCCCCCCCCCCCTTTTTTGGGACAGAGACTCAAGTATCCAAGGCTGTCATTGACCTCTGTGTAGCCCAGGATGACCTTGAACCCCTGAGCCTCCTGCCTCCATGTCCCAAGTGCTGGGATTATAGGCATGTACCACCATGCCCAGCAACTGTCCTTTCTGTTACCTGAAGCACTGAGGATGAAGGCTAACCAACCACTTTAACACACCCTGCCCAAACAGCTAGACACTGCAGAGTAACAGTGGTCCACTTGCAAGAAGTGTCAGTGGATGTCATCAAGACGGGCCAGGATCTCCTAGCACAGCCCAGCCATCACAGGAAACTCGCTCCTCAAGTCCTGTGGCAGGGGTGGGGTCAAGGCATCTGTGCTCACTGCCGACACTCCCCAATTCATCTCCTAGTTGTCGCTGCCCTTTTCCAGTGGAATCAAATGTGACTTTACAACTTGGTAGACAACAACCAACTGGCAATTCTCTCCAAGGAAGTATCTCAGCAGACTCCAGGCTACAAGGTCCCTCTAGAAGCCCCTGAGACAGAAGATCTGTGTTGTGGTGGGGTTTACTGTTATCTTAGGCGTCCTTGGGTCTTAGTGTAAAGTATGCTTCAGCTGGACGTGGTGGCTCACACCTGTAATCCCTGCTTGGTCTACATAGTGAATGGCAGCCAACTGGGGCTATATATCAAGACCCTGTCCCCACAACTGGCCAAGACAGAAAGGACTGAAAGAAGGGAAGATGGCATAAGACAGGGAGGTGGGAGGAGGGAGGGAGGACAAGGGAACAAGAAGAAAGAAGGAAAGAAAGAAAGGAAGGAAGGAAGAAAAAAAGAAAGGAAGGGACAAAAGGAATCACCAGGTCCATCCAGCCCAATGTGACCTGAGGGACAGAGCAGGGTGGTGTCCTGTGGATGGAGAGATGACTCAGCTCAGTCCCTCTGGCCAGGTCATGACCAGGATAGAAAGCCCCTGCTGCTGGGCCATTGCAAACAAGGGGTCAGTGCTGTTCTGGCAGCTAAAGCCAGTGTTTGTGAACCAACAGACAACATCTGTGAAACAGGACTGAGCTGATCTGTCAGATCAGCTGAAGGCTCCAGCGCCCCTCCCTCTCTGTGGGTAGCCTTGCCCTACCCAGGCAGCAAGCAAACCCTCCTGTGTGTCTGCTGGTCTTGAGTGGGAATTTAAAACCTCAGACGCATGGCTTCTTCCTGTAAGCTTTCCTGTCCTGTAGTTTTTATTTCACTAAAAAGCTCTGTTGTACCAATTACTCGGCCATCCGAGGACTTAGTGCTTGAGCGGGGTATGCATAGGACCAATGGGGGTCACTGCTTGAGCCCTGCAGGCTGTGGAAAATGCATGTCCCCTTTATCACTGAAACCCAGTCATAAATGCATTTTAATCGAGAAGAGAAACCAATCCCAGATAATCCCGAAGAAAGCCAGAGAGCCTTCCTTTGGGCTCTGTTCCTCGGAAACTACAGCTAGTAACAAATTCAGAGGCAGGACACCACTCTGCAGCGATGTGGGAATCTGGCTGGCTTCCCCTGGTATGGGAGGGAGGCTATTTCCTCCCTCCTGACACTATCGCTGGAAGTGGATGGAGATGTTGGGAGAGGTTGGATTGGAAGCAGGGAGAGTGAGAGGTGTCCACAGCGTAGACTGAGTTCCCCCACCCCCCACTGAGTTAAAAACACACCTGGGCCCAGTACAGAAGGAGAGAGCGAGCGGGCAGGGGGGGGTTTCCCACCTGCCAGGTGAGCCAGGCTGTGTCAGCGGGTCTGAGCCATGAGCAAATCTGACTTCATGCTAGACTCAAACCTTCTAAGTGCAAAGTGAGAATGTCTGCAACTTTCCTTCTGCCTTGCAGAGGAGGTACAAAAACAAACAAACAACAAAACAACACACACACACACACACACAAAAGAAAATACACACACACACACACACACACACACACACACACCTCCTCTCCTTCCCTTGCAAACCCAGGGCTCCGAGGGGAAGGGGGCAGGTGGGAAGGAACTCTGGGAAGCACAGCTTGGACTCAGCCTGAGGGAAACAGAATGAATCTTCCCCCAGACTTGTTGCAAGACCTGGCCCTTGCTCTCAGCTTCTGAAGCTGGCATCAAGCAGCTGGCTGCCTCCTTCCTACCTGCATTCCTCAGAACCTCTGTGGCCTCAGGCAAAGCACTTCCCTGAGCTTCTGCTGGCACTCTTCGTGGGGTGAGAATATCTGCCTACCTTGTGGGTCCTCTTAGCTAAGCAGCTTTGTCCTTCCTGAGACTTCCCTTTTATCTCCTTTTCAGTCTGGGGAACAGCTATAAGCATGTGAACACACACACATACATGCACACACCCCCCCTCCACACACACACACACACACACACACACACACACACACACACACACACACACGCTCACACTGACATCTGTTATGTTCATATATTTGGACCATGTCGGAGCTCCATTTGAGTCCAAAGCACAATTTCAGATGCTGGTGTGGGTCCTGCAGTCCCAGGGGCCTGTTGAGTGTGTATTCGCATTCCCTGATGACTTTTACACATTGTGCATTTGCATATCTCTTAAAGGGCAGCCATGAAATTTCAGGGAGATAACTCTCTTGATGGGGCTTCTTCACAGGTTCGGGGGTCCACTCAGCTCTCTGATTCCTCAGAGCTGTTCCCAGCAGTGAAGGTAGGCTCAGGGTGGAACGACCATGGGCAGCTCCACAGAGGCAGGAGGAACCCTGAAATCCTGCCAGACTAACTACCCAGGAGACAATTCAAAGAGGCATTTAGAACAGAGAAAAAAGTGGCTGGCTCTTGGTTTGAGTTAAGGGGCATCTCTTTGGAACCCCCTAGTGTGGGGATAGTCACTGAATTGTGACTCCTCACTGAACTGGAGTTGAGGAGTGGGTCTGATTCTGGGATCAGTCTCCCACCCTCTCCTGGCGCTAGTAGATAGAGATTCCCCGTGGTTCCATCCAGCCCAAAGTCTCCATGCTGTGTTGCTGTTTTTCTGACCTCACAGCATCCCTGGCCTGACTGAACATCTTTGGATACCAGGGCTCAGAACTTACCAGCAGCATGATACAGCCTGGCACCTGACCCTGACAGGACAAGCAGGGTCCAGGTCTCTTTGTGCCATCAAAACAGGCACCAGGCATCAGAGGGACACTTCTGAGTTCCCCACAAACCCACTTGGAAAATGGCTCTGGTTCTGAAAAAAAAAAATTAATGTGCATGGGTCTACATATTTGTGCCCATGCTCGTGTGTGTGTGTGTGTGTGTGCGTGTGTGTGTGTGTGTGTGTGTGTGTGTGTGTGCGTGTGACAACTTCAGCTGGCATTCCCATGGCTGCTGGCTGTTGAGCTCCAGGAATCTGCCCATCTCCCTTCCCTACTACTGGGATTACAAACATACACTACCATGTCCAGCATTGCTTGTTTGTTTTTACTAATGAGTCCTGGTGATCCAATCCAGGCCTTCATACTTTTCGAAACTAGCTCTTTACCCATTGATCCATCTCTCCCAGTCCCCCTGATTTTGAAATGTTCATGTGTGAAATCAGCATGTGAGACCCACTCTGGTATTGTTTAAATATAGTCACTAGTATATGCCAAAAGGTATGAATTCAGAGTGGTCTCATATAATTAACTTTATTTAGAAAATGTTTGAACACTGGGGTTCTTTGAATAGAGACCTCATGTGTCCTGTGCAGATTTTGGAGATTTGAGTGAAGGAACCCTCCTTTAGGGTTGAACACATCTCTTCTTCCTTTTATATTGGTATGAGAAAGCTCTTTTACAAGGTGATAGATGAATTGGAATGTCCAATGCCCTCAACGTGGTGAAAAATAAATAGGCAGGCCCTCTGCCTCTAACCTGTACTTTTAGCCCCCTTGAGTCTTATTTAAAACATTTCTTCCCACTCAGTGACATCTCAGGACCCCTGTAGCCCTATATCTGTACCAGGGGAGTGCTAGGAGTCTCATTTTAGGAGTCTTGTTTTAATTAGTTATTTGGCTGTCTTTGAGACAGTCTCATGTAGTCTAGGCTGACCTCAAACTTATGGAGCAGAGGCTGGCCTTGAACTCCTGACTCTCTTGCCTCCTCCACCTCCCAGTCGCCGTGAAGAGGGGTGGGCATTAATAGTGCTCCTGGAAGGAGTCTCATTCTATATTTTGAGTAAAATCAGAGCAATTCAGACTGCCCAGAAGTTCAAGACCACACAGACACAGGAGCCAGGGCTGGGGGCTGGATGCTGCCCTCTCTAGCCAGGAGCCCAAGGTGGCACAGGACTGTCTCTCATCAAGCATGAGCCTCAGGTCTGGCTCGAAGGATGCCAAGGTTTAAGAAGATGAACTCAGGCAAAACTTGAAAGGCATCTAAGAAGGCTCCCACCTGTTTCTGCCTCCATCCCTGAGGGCATACAGGTCCCTTGGGGGTTAGAAAGGGTTAGACAATCCTACCCCAGCCCCATCAAAGAAAACACTGGAGGTGTTTACTAGCCTTGAGAATTGGTTTTATTTAATATTATCTACATAGCAGATTTATAGAGTTAATTTGGTTTCTACTCCAGTAAAAGGTCTCTGGAGGGTGATAATGACAGTTCGGTTTCCAGAAATCGAAAGCAAAGTCAACACAGTGTTGGCCTGGAGAGGGGGAGCTCCTGGGCCCAGAGCCAACTTCACAAGGGCAGGCTCAGCCATCCTGGGAATTTGCCAAGCCTGGATCAGAGTGCTTCTCTAGGACTGTGGAGGATGGAAGTGTAGCCCTGGGGCTCTGGAGTGTGAGTCAGGAATAGAGCAGAGGGCACGGCCCACACAGGACATTAGCAGAGGAAGTTGGGGTAATACTGGTAAAATGGACTGTAGCTCCAGAGGTTTCTCTGCAGGCAGTAGACCAGCTTCCGGTCACAGGTACACAGCCTCATCTGACAGAAGGACCCGTAGCCTACAAAAGGGATATCAAGTCTGAATGAGCATGAGAAAATTGTGTGCCACCAACTCTGCCTTCTTCAGAGTCATTTCTGAGGGTGGCTTCTAGTCTGCATAGACCCCACCTGACAGCGTCCTGCTCTGGGGGAATCTCAGGGAGGAGGGCTCTGCACCAGGGTGATATGTAATCTGATGGGAGAGCTTCAGCTCCAGAGCTAAGGAGATGTGTGATCTGATGCAGGAGGCTTGACTGCTGAACTAGAAGCCAAGATCTTGATTGGGACGAGGTTTCCACTTAGACACATCCCCTTTGGGTGGAGCGCCTAGCTGGAGGGTGGAGGTAGCTTCTGTGGAAGGCATTGAGTAGAGCTGTACCTAGGGCCAGCTTTGATCTCAGGGCTCTGGGCATGAGTCCCTCCTGCTGCATACTGACAATCCTTTGAGCTTCCATTACACATATGAATTAAGGGAGATGAAAGCTACTCTATCCAGGAAGAGATTATCTGCAAACCCACAGTACCTACTGAACAGTGGGTCTAAACTGGGCCCACCCTTCCCTGGAAACCTAAAATGGCTACAACAGCCCATATCCCTCACCCACGCTCTGCCTCACAAGATACAGCCTGGCCCATCTCTTGAGTAGCATGACTCCCAACCTGAATGGGAAGCCACCCTTACCGCAGACGACCATGCCCTGTGTGAATCTGTAGTCATAGGACTGGGTCCAGATGCCACAGCCTCTCTCCTCCAGTTCCCCATAACAGCGGTCATGCATCCAACAGCACCTGTCAAAGTGAGAGATGGAGATGCTGAGTGGAGAGGTGTACCCTCCTGAGAAATGGAGATGCTGAGTGGAGAGGTACCTTCCTGACCTCTGTACCCAGGACACATCCCAAGGGGGAGAGACAGTTCAGGTCAAATCTAAACAAAATCAGAGCCAGAGGCGCCTGTGTGTGTGTGGGGGGGTGTCACTGTGCTTGGTTGTTTAAACCCCCATCCCCCACCAGAAGGTCTCTCTTTGTCCTGAATGCACCCCTGCTTTCTACAGCTTGCCTAAGAGCACAGATGCCTGAGACAAAGTTTGACTTTCTCTACGACTGCAACAGTTTAGACAAGATGCTCTACATAGAAGGCTTGCCTAGTAACAGCACCTCCACCAATGAGCCGATGCCAACTCTTGCCTCCAGTCTCCACAACCAAGGAGCTTGGTATCTAAGCAGCGTATATAAAAGTTCTGGCTCTCCTGCTAATTAAAACTTCCCCTTACCTCACCCTCCTTGTACAGGCCCATGGCTTCTACAGCTTGCATATTCTCATGGCGGGTACCACGGTTCCCAAATCAATAGCTACTCTTCAGAGATCCCCTCTGAGTGCTATTTGGGCTGACACCCCTAGCAGGTGTGGACCTGTGACCGTGTTCCTCTGGCAGACTTTGTGGCAGTGGGTGTGAGCTGGCAGGGATGGTGTCTGTCAAAGTGAGAGAAAGGGGTGCTGAGTGGAGAGACACCCTCCTGACCTCCGTGGCCGGGAGAGAGTTCAAGTCTAGAACCACCACTGATCACAAGTTAGCTGGCCCGTTTTTGCCTCCTAATAGCTAGATGGAGTATAAGTGTGGGGATTTGAATGAAAATGCCCCCCACATAGGCTCATGGGGCTGACAGTATTAGGAGGTATGCTCTTGTTGGGGTAGGTATGGCCTTGTTGGAGGAAGTTTCAAAAGCTCAAACCAGGGCCAGTGCCGTTCCTTGCCTGCTCCCTGCTGGTCCAGATGTAGAACTCTCAGCTCCCTCTCCAATACCATGTCTGCCTGCCTGCTGCCATGCTTCTTGACATGACCATTATGGGCTAAACTTCTGAGCTGTAAGCCCAAATTAAATGTTTTCCTTTATTAGAGTTGGCATGGTCATGGTGTCTCTTCACAGCAATAAAACCTAAACAATGACAGAAGTTGGTACCAGGGACTGTATTGCTGCGATAGGCTGAACTATGCTTTTGTCAGGAAGAATGTGAAACACTTTGGGACTTTGGACTAGGAACGTGACTAGACACTTTAAGCTGGGCTTGATGAGCCACACTAGTAGACTGGAAGACAGTGGTGTTGAAGGTGATTGGAACTGTGGGGGTCTGGCTTAAGAGGTTTTAGAGGAAAGGAATATTAGTTTGTGGCCTAGAGACTGTTCTTGAGATACTTTGGCAAAGAATGTGCCTGCTTTCTGCCCTTGTCCAAACAAACCTCCTGAAACTAAAATGAAGAGCTATGAGCAAACAGCTGGCAGAGGACTTTTAAAACCATCTATAATGAAAAGGAGCAAGCCGAATAAGGACATTTTTAACAAAATTTTAGTTTGAGGAGAAAAGGGGAACCAGGAAGTAGAACACAAATCCTGTATTCAAGGAGATAAAAAGATTAAAGAAAAGCCTTGATGCTAGAGGAATAAAGGGAATGGTGGCCTCAGGGCAAGACCCTACCAGCTAAGCTCCCAACTTAGGGCCAGATGTGGTGGCACATGCCTATAATCCAAGCACTGGGGAGGCAGAGGTAGGTGGATTTCAGAGTTCAAGGCCATCCTGGTCTACAGATTCAGCTTCAGAACTGCCAGGCTTAGGCAGTGAAGGAGACCATCAGAACCAGAGAACTGGTGAAAATGTATTTGAGCCCCAGCCCCAGGAAGCAGCAGAATTCGGTGGCTTCAGCCAGTGCAGTCTCCCTCCACAACTATAAAGGCACTGAGGCCAGGCATGTGTCGGGGTGTCCCTGCATGGAGGCCTAGAGGGGCCCATTGTGTGTAGAAAGAAAGCTGTGAAGGTGAAGCCTGGATTGCCTTGGAGACCCCAAGCTGTCAGAGACGCCAGATGCATGGGATAGCTCCTGAGGAGAGCTGCTGACAGGGAATGGAACCAGCCCAAGAGACAGAAGTGTGCCGCAGTCGACAAAGCTGAACAGAGTTGGGGATCTGAAGAGCATTTGAACCTCAGACATAGAGACACAGAGTTCGGAGTTTGCCCAGCTAATTTTCAGCCTTGCTTTGATGCAGTATTTCCTCCCTATGCTCCCGTTCACCCGTTTGGAATGATGATGTATTTCCTGTGCTATTGTATGTTGGAAATATGTGATCTGCTTCTCCATTTTGATTTTTACAGAGGATTGCAGTTAAGAGATTGTCATGAGTCCCAGAAGAGACTTTGAACTTCAGGTTTCTAAATAGTCTTGAGATGTGATCGACTATGAGGACTTATTAAGTAGGACTGAATGAATTTCTGCATTATGAAATGGCTACAAGTCTGTGAGGGCCAGGGAATGGAATGTGATAGCTTGAATGAAAATGACCCCCACAGGCTCAAGGGACTGACACTGTGAGGTGTATTCTTGTTGGAGGAAGTGTGACACTGGACCTGCTCCCTGCCGATCAAGATGTAGAACTCTCAACTCTTTGTCCAGCACCATGTCTGCCTGCATGCTGCCATGTTCCTGTCATGATGATAACAGACTAAGCCTCTGAACTATAAACCAGCCCCAATGAAACACTTTCCTTTATTAGAGTTGTCATGGTCATCATCAATGGAAACCCTAACTATGTCAGCAAGGCAATGGTTAGACTACATTGCCCAGACTCCCTTGGGAGTAGGTATGATGGCTGCATGGCCAGGTTCTAGCCAAAAGGGATGTACACGGCTTCCACACTTACCATGAAAACCTTCTATGTATCTTCCTCTTCTCTTTCTCTATCTTTAAATGGCGGAAATGAGCCAGCAGAGGACAGCTGAACCATAAGAGGGGATGTGCCTTAGGTTTATTAATCAACGCAAATTACATGAGTGAACAAAAACTTAACTTCTAGTGTGTTTTTGATGTGATGGCTTCATTTGAGTATTTTTAATTATTTTATATGCAATGGTGGTTTGCCTACATGTATGTTTGTACACCACACTTGTGTCTGAGACCCAAGGAGGCCAGAAGAGGGTGTCCTATGCCCTGGAACTGGAGTTGCAGAAGTTGTGCAATATGGACTTGTGCTGGGAATTGAATCCAGGTCCCCTGACAAAGCACCCAGTGCTCCTAACTGCTGGACCACCTCACCAGGCCTGAATTTATTGATTGATTGATTGAGTGATTGATTGATTGACAGAAAACTTGAGGCCATTCAGGGAAATTCCTGGTTCCTTCTATTACTAACATATGGTTTATATGCTGCATTTGTTTTAATTAATCAATTGATATAGATATATTCTAAACTAAGTAACCAGTTCTGTATTGATAATATATTATCAGTTCCATTAATTGTAAAAAAAAATCCATTGTTTGTTTTAATTTCCTTAGTTTATTCGTTACTTTCCCTGTCACTGTCAAACCTGACAAGAACCTGAGGGAGTCGGGGCTTGCTTTGGCTTGCAGTTTGAAACAGCCCATCATGGTGAGGAAGGCATGCTGGCTGGAACACAGGGCAACTGCTCACATTGCATCTATAGTCAGGTAGCAGAGTGGAGAAAGAAAGTGGATTTGGCTAAGATATTTCAAGGTCCACCAAAGTGAACCTCTTCTCCCAGCTAGGTCCCACTCTAAGGCCACCCGGAAGTATCCAAACACATGCACTTATGGGTGACATTTCCCATTCAAGCTTCAGTATTTGTGTGTGTGTGTGTGTGTGTGTGTGTGTGTGTGTGTGTGTGTGTGTGCATGAAGGCCAGAGGGGGCTATGTCCTGTGTCTCCATTAACCACTCTCCACCTTATTTCTTGAGGCAGGTTCTTTCACTGAAACCTAAGGCTCACTGATTCAGCTAGACTGACTGGTCAGCGAGCCCCAGGAATCTGCCTCCACCTCCTCTCACAGCAGCATCCAGCTTATTCAAGAATCCTTATGTCGATTTTGGGGAACCAAACGCAGGTCCTCATGCTTGTACAGCAAGGGCTTTACTGACTGAGTCATTGCTCCAGCCCCATATCTATAAATGTGTACATAATATTACATATTAAGCTAAACAGTGAAAGGTCCAGAAATAGGAATACGGAAGTAAAGAATCCAGGAATAGAAATAGAAAAATATAGGAATGTAAATTTGTAGCTTAAAAAGAAGTAAGAGCTGGCAGTCACCAGCCATGTCAGCAGTTAGGGATTAACTTCCAACAATGGAGTTCCTTGCTTTCTGACCTGCAACTGAGGGTTAGCTATGAAATAACCCCTGCCACTTACAATCTGACAACTGCTGTGAACTAAGTTAACTTTTACTACCGAGTTGTAACTTTTGTGTTACATTGCTCAATGTTCTTCCCTGCCTTGGGAAAACCCGAAATTACCAGGGAATTGCAATTACAGTAAACACCATCAGATGTGCAAATAAGCTAATGCAAACACTGACTTAGCCAAAGACCTTGTTAATGGAAATTGTAAAAAAACTATTTGTACTAAGTTTTGCCTTGAGATTGTAAAAATTCTTTTGCCCATGCCTAACCGCTTACTTTTTCCTCTAAAAGGGGAGCTCAAATCCACCTTCCGGATTGCCACAGTTTCAGAAGCCCAGTCTCTTGCTGTGGTCCCAGTTAACTGCTAAGCTTTTTGTGCCCCGTGGTGATTGTTTCTTTTAATACAGTTTGCTTCTGCTTCAGACTTTGATGGTCTGTTCCCCCATCCTTTGTGCCCTCAGACCCAACAAGAGTTTATAAAGATGTGTTCAACTACAATCCATTACCACATAGGTGATGGGAGGTGTCATTCTGTAAATATGTTTCTCTTATCGGTTAATGAATAAAGCACTGTTGGCCAATAGAAAAGCAAGATAGGTGGGACTAGGAGAGGTGGAGGATTCTGGAAAATGTAGGACAGAGTTGAGATGTGATCTCAGGAGGAAAGGATGCGAGTCTGGTGTTCTTGGTAAGATTAGACCATGTAAAAATACATATATTGGTAATTATGAGTTAGTATTTAAGACAAAGCTAGCCTTAAGAAACTCCAGTAACAGGCCAACAGTTTCATAACTAATACAGTGTCTCTGTGTGTTATTTGGGGCTGATGGGACTGTGGGACCAGGCTGGCGGGGAAAACACTCATAACACATAGATCATTCTAGCCTTCTCCTTGCTTATCCATAGAGTCCCACTTCAAGTTGGCCCCGACTCCCTGATGTCCATTTGACACCATCCATCATGGAACCCACTGACATCAGAACTGTTAACTCTGTACATTGAGTTTTCCAAAGAACTACATCTCCTGTCTCACAGTCTTCTAGAATGGTGACACTTCCCTACCGAAAGGTAAAATCCAGATCCTCTCTCTTTTCAAGCTGACACACAGTAACTAGATATATTGATGGGCACAACGTGGTACTATACACCATCCCATTGAGATTGTTCATCTTGACTGTCAACTTGGCTGGATTAATAGCTGTCTAAGAGGCTATAGAATCCCATCCTTGGATGTGTCTATGAGAGATTCTCTAGAGATTAGATTTATTTGGGCTAATGAATGGCTTCATCCACTGATGGATTTATAATAGGATGGCATTATTAGGACATGGTGAAAGATGGGAGTAGGACCTAGTTGGAAGAAGTGGGTCATTGGAAGTAGCATCTCTGGCAATGACAATCTTGCCCTGTCATCTTTCTGTATCCCTCTCTCTGCTTCCTGTTCACCATGAAGGAACTCTAGGCACATACATTCCCACCATCGTATCCTGCCTCAAAACAGGCCCAGAAATACGGATCCAAGTGGCTGAACCCTTTGAAACTGTGAGCCAAAATAGCTGATTATGCTGTTAAGTCATCTGACAGTTATTTTATCACAGTGAGAGAAAAAGAAAAGCTAAGATAACCATGGCATTATACAACCACCATAGAGATGCAAACCACTTATCCATCATCTCAAACAATCATTTCTTGGTGGCGAGACCATCAGAGATCTCTCTTGGGCTGCTCATCTCTTTCACTGCTCACCACACATTGACTGCAGTCATAGAACATCAAAGTTTACCCCCCCCAAGTGTATCTGTGTGCTCATTGGCTAGCCTAGGTCTCTTCTCTCTTGAGTTTTTGTGACAGGAACAATTAAGAGAGCCACATAAACAACACTGTGGTGTTTCAGAGGTCTATGATAAAAAAAAAAAAATGTTGTTGAGACAGGGTCTTGCCATGCAGCTGAGGCTGACCTGGAACTTGCTATATAGCCCATAGCAACCTTGAACTCTTGCTTTTCCTGCCTCCACCTGCCCAAGACTGGGATTTCAGGCTCACACGCACACATCTAGCAAGCTATTCTCTTTCACCATGTAGTTTGGGAATGTTTGTTCATAACCTCCCAAGTGTCATCAGGCTGCTAGAAAGCAAGACAGCCCTGAAAAGGACCCATAGAAAAGGACTGAGACTCCACCCATGGACAGCAACCACCTGAGCCACAGCCATGAGCTGCTTGTGGTATGGGTCATCCAGCCCCAGCCAGCCATTGCAAAAGCAAACTGAACAGATAGGAGTCATTCTGCAGTGGCCTCCCCTGGATATCAGGTTCATGAGCAAAGTAAACGATCGTGGTTGCATTAAGTCAACATGTAAGAATCATTTGTTTTATTTCAATAAACCAAGTGATACTTTAGGCCACTGAGATCTTGGGACTCTTGGGAGTGACATGGCATATCTTCTTTAAAAGCTGCTTAACTCCTTCAGAGGAGTTTTACTTATTTTAGAAGCTGGCATAATGGTGCACACCTTTAATCCCAGCACTTAAGAGGCAGATGCAGGTGGATCTCTGTGAGTTTGAGGCCAGCCTGGTATACACAGTGAGTTCCAAGATAGTCAGGGCTACATAGTGATACCCTGTCTGGAAAAAAAATTAAATAAAAATACATAGAAATTTATTTTAGTTTCAAGTGGTGTGTGTGTGTGTGTGTGTGTGTGTGTGTGTGTGTGTGTGTAAGCACTGGTGCCCAAAGAGGCCTAAGGCATCAGATCCCCTGCAGCTGGAGTTATAAGTGATTGTGAGCTGACTACTATGGATGCTGAGAACTGAACTCAGGTCCCCTGAGAAGAGAAGTATGCACTCTTAACCACTGAACATCTCTCTACTCTCGAACCTCATTTGTAATTCTCATCTCCTAGAATAGACATGGAATCAGAGGAGGTGATGAGGGCAGTGCTCAGAGTGTTGAAGACGGAGATGATGTCAGCTCACCAATCAGTACCATCCTTGGGGGTCCCACTGCCGCCCCAGCCACAGTAGCAGCCATAGAAGCCATAGTTGATTATTGGATCCTTCCCAGTCACTTTCTCAATCATGGACTTCAGTTCTAGCAAGCCCCCTGGCACTGCAGGCACACCTGGAAAACAGCCCAAGTCTTCAGGTGACACTGGGCACCCGGAAGCAACCCACTTGCCACCCCTCCACCCACTCTTATTCTCCCAGTTAATGGGAGGAGGGCCAGGCAGATGACAGCAGCAAGTGACCTGGAATAGAAGTTAAAGTTTGTTAGCTAGGCAGTGGTGGTACAGGTGAATCTCTGGGAGTTGAGACTCTACAGAGCAAGTTCCAGGATAGCCAAAGCTACACGAAGAAACCCTGTCTTGAAACACACCCTCCCTTAGCAAAAAGAGTTTGCACTTGGGAGCTGAGGGCCATGGCTCAGTTGACAAAGGACTTGACCCAGCCCAGAGTGCATGAAACCATACTTTTGATCACCAGCACTTTGTAACTTTGTAAACTGGCTGTGAAGTATGCCTGTAATCCTAGCACTCATGAGGTGGAAGGAGGAGGTTCAGAAGTTCATGGTCATCCTTGGCTACTTAGCAAGTTCAAGGCCAGCCTGGGCTACATGAGATGCTTTCTTAAAAAAAAAAAACCAAACCAACCAAACAAACAAACATAAAACAAAACAAAACAAAAAACAACAAATTAATTGAATTTAGGAGCAGAGTTTGGAACCAACTCCCTTGCATTACAAATCGGGAGGCCGAGGCTCCTGTAGGTCTAAAAGGAAGTACCTTGTCTAGGGTTTTCAATGAATGCAAGGAGCCAGAAGTTCTTTCCCTGCCTTGGGCCTCAAGTTCCTCCTAGGATCTCCAGATAGCTGGCAAGACATCAAAGAGCAGAGTTGCCACCAAGGGCTTGTTTGAGTGGCTAGGGGGCTGCAATGAAGCCTCAAGCCAGATGTATTCTACCAAACCCCCAGACCTTAGCATGACTGACTTCATACCATTCAGGCCTTAAAACGCAGCATGGGCACAGCACTGCCAGCCAAAAGGAAGACAAAGGCCCAATCCATCAAAGTCAATCAAAGTTCTGGGAAAGTCTCTGAATGTACTAACCTTGCTTCTTGGCTTCTGTAGTTCGGCTTCTGGTTAACTGTTCTTGCTGACTGAAGTATGCCAACCCAGAATACAGTTTTTGTATTTAAAAGCTCACCCTGAGAAAGGCTCAAGACTAAACTTCAATCACCCAGTGTAGCTGCAAGCCAGCTAGTAGACTTTCTGTCGTTTCAAAGCCATGTTTAAGCAGTCTTCTCCAGTGGCTGCCCCACAGCTTTTCAGACCCTTCCCAGTCGGGGCAGTATGCGAACATACTGAACAGAGGATGACTCGGGAATCAACTGGAGTCTGTCTGTCTGTCTGTCTGTCTGTCTGTCTGTCTCTATCTATCTATCTATCTATCTATCTATCCATTCATCCTTCATTGGACCTAATGTATCACTATACTACAAGTGCTCTGCTGCTGAGCTTTCCCCCAAGCCTGGAGCTGGGATATTTCCTAAGGATTTTGTGTTCTCCTTTGTTCTTGCTACTTGTCCTTATTCTACTTTTACTTTTCAGGGAAATATCTGCCTCCCACATTCACAAGCGCCACCTCTTCATGTTCACAGCCTTCACACCCTGACCTACAGTATCCAAATCCTGCCACAGCATCATGTCCACCAGCCCAAAAGCAGGGGCCCAGGGAGACCAAGGCCTTCGCTGATATCCCTGCCTGCCTGGTAAAGGCAGAGCTGAGACTCAGACACAGGTCTCTGAACCTCAAAGGCTGGTGGTCACCTTCCTTTCCACTACCTAGTCACTCGAGCGATGACAGGAGGGGATTGAGGGGGCAGGGTTCAGAGGTCATGGAGCCAACACTTACTGCAAGCCAGGAACCAAGCCAGTGTGAGGAGGCCCTTCATCTCGGGTTCTGGAAAACAAAACACATCCCATGATGCCAAAGCCTGTTCAGACCCCACCTGGCTCCAAACTAGGTCTGGGTGTTCCCTTCCTTGTTGGGTAATCCACAGACTGCCCCAGCTGGAAAAGACAAGGCAAAGCCTCCAGGCCTTTGTCCCTAGAGACAGAAGGTCATTATTGACTCCACCAGAATGTGGCAGTGACAAGTACCCCCAACATTTGTCTCCCTGGCAGATGTGTAAATGGATATTGCTGCATAGGATCAAGGGCAGGAACTTAAAAGCCCCTAGACACAGCAAGAATCAGTGTGGAGGGCTGGTGGGGTGGCTCAGTGGGTAAAGGTACCTGTCGCCAAGCCTGATGATCTGACTCTGATCCCTGGGACCCACATGGTACAAGGAGAGAATTGATTCCCACAAGTTGTCCTCTGATCTCCAGGTGCACACCTTTACACATATACACCATACACTAAATAAAATGTAAATATAGGGAGGAGGGAGCTGGAGCACTGAGGGGGAGGGAGCTGGAGCACTGAGGGGGAGGGAGCTGGAGCACTGAGGGGGAGGGAGCTGGAGCACTGAGGGGAGGGAGCTGGAGCACTGAGGGGGGAGCTGGAGCACTGAGGGGAGGGAGCTGGAGCACTGAAGGGGAGGGAGCTGGAGCACTGAGGGGGAGGGAGCTGGAGCACTGAGGGGGAGGGAGCTGGAGCACTGAGGGGGAGGGAGCTGGAGCACTGAGGGGGAGGGAGCTGGAGCACTGAGGGGGAGGGAGCTGGAGCACTGAGGGGGAGGGAGCTGGAGCACTGAGGGGGAGGGAGCTGGAGCACTGAGGGGGAGGGAGCTGGAGCACTGAGGAGAGAGAGCTGGAGCACTGAGGGCAGAGGGAGCTGACACTTGTATGTTGTTCCCATAGTTCACGGGGCTGACATCTCTAGCTCCCGGCTGGCCATTTGAGGCCTGTAGCTGTTGGTCTCCCCGCTATAGCACTGAGATGGTGGCTGGCCAGACAGGTGCTCCAGAATGGAATCTAGCACCGGCAATGAGTCCTGGCCACTGGGGGCTTCACTATGGCTTTGTGGCCTCAAGACAGGTCTTTTGACAGTACTACGTGTGTCACTGTTCCCATGTGCCATCGGGAAGATGAGGCTCAGAAACTGCCCAGAATCTGCCACAGGCCACTAAGCTGATGGAGTAGAATCAGAATGCCAGGTCTTTGACTCCTCACTGCTCCATGCCACCCCTCCTAGAGGGGCACATTCTCTCAACCCTGGGGTTCTGTCTTCCACAAAGTTCATCTTCTAGGGCTCCCACCTTAGTATCTGTGTTTGGCAAAAACACGACTCCTGGCTGGAAGTTTGCAAGCAGTCGTGACCATAGGCAGAGGAAACACGAGGTTTCCAAGTGGCCTCTAGAAGGTTCCTTTGCTGGTGGCTGCCTGCTCTTCTCCCACCCCGGGATCCCCAAATCCCTGAGTGTTCACAGGGTTCAGCTGGCCTGTGGTCAGCTAGAACTTCCATTCGGGTGCCACACTGTCTCCAAGCCTCCGAGCAGCCCAGTCTCTGTGCCATTACTCTCTGCCCAGGTCCTTGCACCCCCACAGGCCCAGCTTCCATGCCCAGCATTTCAGACTCCTGGCTACTGAGTAGGCCTTTGTCCAAGAGCATCTGTGAGTTCCAAGAATATTCCTGAGAGTTCTGTCCCCATACAGGCTCTGCTCTGGGGGCTCTAAGCACCCAGATCAAACCGGCGGAGACACGGCTTTGCACAGTAGTCTCCTTGGCTGCTTTTCTGAGGCTATGCTGAAGCAAAGACACCAGGGGCTACACAATGGCATCTCCAATGTGCCAGACACCATCCTCATCACTCCCAAACGACCCATGGCCTTGACAGGTCCACACAGGCAAGCAAGCCACCAAATCCCCTCCAACAGGGGTTTGCCGGGTGAATGGATGCATGGATAACAGTTGTTGATTTTCTAGCTTTTCCAGGTTCAGGAACTGTGAGACTCAGGCAAAGGGCTGGAAAGATGGCTCAGTGAGTTAAAGCCCTTACTGTGCAATCACAGGGATGAGATTCTGGGTTCCAGCACCCACATAAAGCAAGCTGGGTGTGTTTGCACCTCCCTCTAACCCTAGTGCTCTGGGGCACCAACAGGAGGGTCACTGGGACTGGCTGGCTGTCAGCCTGACTCCAGCTTTTCTAGAATCAGTGAGTGAGTGACCCTGGCAAAAGGGAGTAAGCAGAGGGAGGAGGTGCTTAAGAGGGAAGATAGTTGTGGTGGTGATAGAGCAGGTCACCCAGGGCTGCTCCCAGACCTCTATGCTTACATGTAGCGGAGGCACACACAGCAGACAGACAGATGGACGGACAGACGGACGGACTGATGGAGACAGAAAGGCAAAGAGAGAGAGCCCTTGCATGGGTGAAAACAGTTGCCCAAAGGTTTAACCCAAACTGGTGAATCCCCTCCTTCTATGGACTCTCCTGCACTTCTCTGCTTTTCGTTTCCTATTTTCTTTTCGTCTTATTTTCTTTCCCTTCTCTTTCTTTTTCTCTTTTCTTTCTTTCCCTTCCCTCCTCTCTTCCTCTCTCCCTCCCTCCTTTCTTCCCTCCCTCCCTCCCTTCTTTTCTCTCTCTCTCTCTCCTTTCTTCCCCTCTTTTTCAGGATGTCAGGATCTCCTTGAGTCTACATGGACCTTGGACTATGTAGTCAAGGTTGACTTTGAATCCCTGATCCCACTTCCACCAGGCCTCCCACGGTGCAGGGAAGAAGCAGGGGCCTCATGCCTGCTGGGCAAGAGCTCTGCCAACTGAGCCACATCCCCAGCCCATATATTTTATTTCATGAAGTTTTGACATCTCAAGGATCTTGATGAATAGAATGTGCTTCTTGAAGGCTAGCCAATTCCTACAGCTAGGACCTGGCTCTCCTGCAGGCATGCTTTTCCCATACCAGTCAAGCAAGTCAACACCTTCAACCCCAGCACCCACAGACAACTCTCCCAGGTCAGGCCAGTCACTATTAGCCTGATTGTCCCTAGAGGGAAGCCCGGAGCTGCCGAGGGGACTCTCACTAGCCTACACATTCTGTTCCCTTTCTCTCCCTTCAGACTCGATCACACGGGTGAGAACCCCACCCAGTGTGACTCTCCGCATTGTAACCCTCTTCTATGGACTGTAAATAGAAGGCTCTTAATAGCCATCCTTTTTCTCACCTGCTGTCCTCACCCAGGACTCTATTGAGCTGGGCTGTAGCATTTTGGTTCAGGTACAGCAGGAGTCCCTACAACATGGTTGCAAAGATAAGGCAATCTCTGGGGACGAGCTGGCACTAGGGCCTGGAGACAGCTGTCCCTCTGACCATCACTGGAGCCCAAGGCAGCCAGGAGACAAGCCTACGCTGGTCTGCTGTCATCTGATGACCACAGGGGCACTACTACATAATTTAAGAGTGGAGCAGTGATAATGAAAGGTGGGGAGGGCACAGGCAGACAAGAAGGAGGCATGGAGGAGGATGTGGGAGCTGCCAAAGTCATGTGAGAACAGGTCCCTCAAGGTCACATGAGGTAGCCCTGTATGCCCAGGACACCCATTCCCATCTCCTATCTGTCAGCTTTGAGACGCCAGAACCCATGCTACCTCTGGTCCTCCACAGAGGGGCAGGCCCCCACTCAACCCTACTGGGCAGCCCCAAGAATCAGAGTCTCACCTGAGAGCCCTCTCTGTTCTCACTTCCAGAGAGTAGGCAGCAGCTGGGCCTGCTAGGTCTCAGCCAGTCCTGATGTCTCCCACAAGCTGCCTGGGCCACCTCCAAGATTCCTGGGAACCCAGAGAGGCCACCTTGAAGACACCCTGTTGCTTTCCCTCTAGATTCTTGATGCAAGCCTCAGGGCTGCAAAGCCTTCAGGAGAGAGATCCAGAAAGGTCTGGCTTGAGCTGACCTGGGTCCAAGGCTCTTCCCCACCAGAGATGGAGCCCAAGTCCCCTCCCAGGCACACATCCTGCCACAGTAGGCCTTTGTGGAATGACACAGTCTCTGGTTCCTTGTGGTTTCCCAGCCCACAGCAACAGCTTCTATTTTGTTCTGTCCTCTGCTCAGGAGCAGCCATGGGAACGGGGTAACTCACAACCCTCTTCCTTCTCTCCTTCAGCCCCAACTTTCTCTGCAGCCTGTATGCTCCCCATAGGGACAGTGCAAGATGCTGCTTCCCTGGTCCAGCTGTACCACCTATTGTCATCTGACTCACTCACTGTTGAAACCCTACACCCAGCTTCTCTCCAGGGGCTACTTAGTAGCTGTGTGACCCTGGGCAAGTAACTACACCTCTCTGTTTCTTCATGTGAAGCCTGAACACCATGGCCCCCACCAAAGCACAGTGAGGAGGGTACTGGACAAACTATCCAATAATGTCCCACAAAAAGCATGTGGCTCAGTGGGTAATGTCACAGATTGTCCATCCTGGGTTCAAATCTAGATGTTCTCACTAACTGAAAACATCATGTCAGGTAGTTCACCTACTTGGAAGAGCTGTCAGGAACCTTCAGTGACTCAGTGCATCTATTCACACTTGTAACAAAGGTAGGGGCTGAATAGTGCTAGCAAAAGAAAGATGGACATTGTGCACTTGTGCGGAACCCAGCTAACTGGCTGTCTCTCATCATCACTATCATCATCATCATCTTCATCATCATCATCATCACTATCATCATTATCATCATTTTCTTCTTCTTCTTCTTCTTCATCATCATCATCTTCAGGCACTGCCCTCTTCACTTTTGGAGCAGGGTTTCTGACTTTCACTGGAACTTCCCAGGGCAGTCAAATTGTCTAGCTATGAACCCAGAAGAGCTAGGATTATCAGTGTTTGCTACCATGCCTGAGTTCATTTTAACACTAGGGATCAAAGTGGAGCCTCATACTTGTGTGGCAGCCACTCTGCTGCCTGAGCATCTCCCCAGGCCTCTTGCCTCTCTACCCCTCCTCTCTCCCATCTCCAGCAGCAGCAGGAGG